AAGCTCTGCAGAAATCCCAAAACAAGAGCCTCACTAATACCTTTAAATACAGAACTTATACCTGTGGATTGCTTATACCTTAAGGATTTAAACATGTTTTATTACAGCCTAATAAACAAATACATCCTTGTAATTAGCCACGGTAATCTCCCTTCTCATTTTAAAGCTCCTGTAAAGGCTTTTTGAAGAACAGAGGAAAATGAAAGCGGCGTTAATCTTCATCAGGCAGGCTGCTCCACCTGCAGCACCTGATCAGCTGACTGTAAACCTCTCAGCTGATTGTTCAGATGGTCACGCCCAAAGCTCCACAACAGCTGATGGCTCCAGCATTGTGTATTTAAGGCGAGGCGGCACAGAGAGACAGGACGGCGTTTTCCCTGGAGGCTGGCCTGTGATGAAATGGATATTTGAGCAGCTTGTAAAAAGACTAGGGCTGTCAAATGATTAATATTTTTAATCTGAGTAATCCCAAAGTAGCTGTGAATTAATCATGATTAATCTTAAATTTAACATACATTTCTATTGCATATTGATAAAATAAATTATTTGAGTTATTAATTAGTTTTTACTGTTTTTATTTAGAAAACAAAATTGATGCTTGGACGTGATTTTTTAAATATAAAACAGGACCTAAAAAATACTCCAAACATATGTGAGTCAGTTACATTTTGTGCAGAATAATGAGGTTAAATCAAGAATTSAAGGAKTTTCATTCYAAATGAGWWCTACATGAGGAATGAAAGATACATACTAAGGTCACAGTTGTCAGCAAAACATAAATAAAATAAAATAAAATAAAATAAGCCATAAGAAGACAAAAAGAAAAAAAACTGTACATAATGTGTCATGGAAAAAAACAAAAAGAAATAATTGTATAGGTCTTCTGGACGGGTTCTTCTCTAATGAAACGTTTCGTCTCTCCTCCAAGAGACTTCTTCAGTCTGAGAGTTTCAGGCAAAATTCAGGCTTTTAAGCACTGCCTCCATGTGACTGATACTCACATCACATGGCTGTCGTTAACACCTAATTAATACCTATTGTTAACAGGGGGTGGAGTGATACTGGCAATAGCAGCACTGTAGGAGGGGGACAACTGAAAACGGAGGCCTCCACCTCTGTTTAATGAWGGACGGTCTTTCTTCACAAAAATGGCTTCTTTTACTCCTCTCTCAAACCAACGTTCCTCTCTATCAAGAATGAGAACATCCTCATCTCTGAAAGAGTGACCGCTGGCCTGTAAATGAGTGAAAACTGCAGAGTTCTGGCCATTATATGTAGCTCGTCTGTGTTGGGACATTCTTTTGAACAGTGGCTGCTTTGTTTCCCCGATGTATAACTGGTCGCAGTCCTCCTGGCACTTAACAGCATATACAACATTGCTCTGTTTGTGCCGGGGCACCGGATCTTTGGGGTGAACCAGCCTTTGCCGTAATGTGTTTTGGGGTTTGAAAGCYACTGGGACATCATGTTTAGAAAATAAACGTCTCAGTTTGTCCGAAACACCCGCAACATACGGAATAACCACTGGTTTGGGTCTGGGTTTGGGGTCTTCATTTTCACCTGAAGGTTGCATGGGTTATGGAGTTTTTTTAATTTTTTTAACCTTTATTTATCCAGGTAAACTGTTTGAGATTAATCACAATTAAAACATTTTAATCTATGCCCATGCAGCACTAAAATTAATCAGAGTTAACTCGATTAATTTCACAGCTGTAAAAAAAAGACACAATTATTCATTTAAAGCTGCTGCAAATAGTTTTTTTTTTCAAAACCTTATTTGTTAAACAATCTTTTTTAAATATAGACATATAAAAGTGTTTTAAATGCTCTTTGTCTAAAAGTAGTCAGGATTTTATAATAAGTTTACCTGGTGATTAAGATGCAGACCTTGTGCACCACCTCAGTATCTGGTGGGTTTGAATGAAACACATCAGAACTAAATTTGACCTGGAAAGAGTTTCCAGACCGTAACCAGAACATTGTGTACTCGTGTGTTTGTGTGTTTTAACCGACACTCCTCTGAAGTGCGAAATCTGCGAGCGCTGTAAAATACGGTGTTCTCTGTTCAGTATCAGGTGAGTTAGAATGAAACCGTCAGCTCAGGTCAGGGTTCAAGGTTGGAGGAGTGGCAGCAGGAAAACTAAAGCTGCTGCTGCACTGCTCTCTGTGGGACACTCCTCACTTAGCAGGTGTTTCAGGCACCTGACCAACTCCTGGCTCTGGCAGCAGTTTCTGCATGGAGCAGCCAGAGAACGGTGAAACTTTTCACCAACCGTCCTGAATGGCACATGGAACTTTCCAGTCTTCAGCTATAAAATCACTTATTAGTGCACATTTAGAGCGTGAGACAGTTCTGATCTAATGAAGTGAGATTCTGTGGAAATATTATGAACAGTTAGTAACGATATAGAGCTCTTTGAACACCTTCAGTTTGGTGAAAAATGGTTTTATTCTGACCAGATTGATGAGTTAATGGCTAGTCTGAGAAAGGCCAAGACAAAAAACTTTGCCCTTAGTTATAAACCTTTACATCAAGAACAGCTGCAGCTGAGATAAGAGATGCATACATGGCAAGCAGTTGTTTTATTTAAGCAACTTTTTGTAAAATAATATGGCCAGTCATTTGTATATTTATTCAATATCCCTGCTATTAAGATTTTTTATTTTTTTGTTAATCACGAAAACTCATCTGGCTGAGAAGTTTGAGCATTTAAAATTTTATTTATTTTATGTTTTCACATTAAAAGATGTTAATTAGTTCTGTTGTTTTTATTTTACTTTAGGTTTTGTTTAAATTATTGCAGCAAATACACCTCAATCTCTGATAGGTTTTGATGTATTTTTGCAGTTATATTTTCTAAAGAAATACATTTCTGGAGTTCATCAAACTTTCTGTTTGACATAGAATAGAATAGAATACAATAGAATAGAATAAAATAAAATAGAATAGAATAGAATCTTTATTTCAAAACAGACCAGCGCCTCTTCATCTTGTAACCACAGACAATAGAAGTGATTCTGCCCCCGTTTTCCTCACTGGTATTTTTACTAGTCTTATAGACTTGTTATTAACATGTTTGTATTTTAAAACCTCACAGCATGTATTGTAACAAAACTAAACAATCATATCTAAGTTCCTCCTCAGTTTACTTTAAGGTAATATTTCTAACATCACTGGTATCGCAGTTTATAAAAAAAAACAGCCATGTTTCCTTGATTGCTTTTTTTCTTCTCTTTAACATGATGAAATGTGCTGTGATGACTCCGACGCCCTCGTTGGTTTGATTTATTCGCCGCTGCCTTTCAGGTGTCTGAGCTGCCAGCCGAGCTCAAACACATCAATCTGCTTTTATGATGTACGGAAGAAATGCTGTCAGAAAGCAAACAGCCTGAGCTGTTATGAATGAACACAGTGCAGGTGGTGTTACAAGCTGCGTGGAGACGATCTTAGGATGAAGATGTAATAAAGATGAAAGGAAGCAGCAGCAGGAGGAGGAGGAGGGTGTGCTGTCTCACTTTCATATTCAGTTTCTATAAACAGGCTTTCAACCAATTTCAGTGCGTTTGTTTGTGTTTCTATGAACCTTGCTCCCCCCCAGTTCTGTTTCCAGCCCAGCCTCCACCAATATACAGAATGTCCTTTCCCCAAATAGTTCTGCTCCATATTTGCCATCAAACAAACCAGGAAAGAAGAACAGAGACAAAAACGCACCAAAAACTGATCTCTTGTTTAGCCTCAGAGCTGTATGTCCTGCTACATCAAAAACACAGAGATGAAGGAGTTAACACAAACAGGAGCACAGTGTAAAACAAAAATAGACTGTTGAAGCTTTTTAACACTGTCAATGAAACTGTGTCCTTTAGAAACATGCCAACCAAAAAAAGTGATGAAAATGTTGTACTTTTATTGTTCTAACAAGTCGGATTTATAAAAAAAGTTATAATGTACAGCAAAATAGTATAATTTAAATTTTATATCTTTTAAAGAAAGATTATGTTAAAAAAACCTTTATGAACAGGCAGTATCTTACCTGTTGCGGATGCAGAAATGAAGTTTATTTTTGACAATATTTCAAAACCAAAGTGGGTTTCAGTTTTTCATCACAAAAACCACAGATGGACTGTAATATGTCAGAACTTTGTGTAAAACAGTCTTTTGATTGTGTTGCTTTACATAAACAGTTTGACACATTCTGTCTGCATCACCTGGTTAAATAAATGTCTCCGGCCTGGTCTGAGATCAGCTCGCTCTCACTGAAACCAATCTAACAAGCTTGTGGACAGAACAGAGCAAAGAGAGGCACACCTTTTTATCACGTGAGGGTTTTTTTTTTCATGTGTGTGTGTGTGTGTGTGCGCGTGTGTAAACAAAGACGCTGTTGTGTGTGTAGGCTTGTTTCGCCTCCCTTTGCATAAGCCTGTAGATAAGTGACAGGAGAGAACAGCCCCCACCTGACTTCAGCTGAACTGTGTACACTCCAAATATTTCCATAGCTATCCCTCTCACGGAAATAAAGGAGGAAGTCATACAGAGAGGAGAGAGAGAGAGAGATGGGCTGGAAGTTGGACATTACCAGGGTGCCGACTCATTTAAATAAATATAAATGATATTTAAACAATGCAACAAAAACCTGAACAGACAAAACTTGCAGCAAAAACGCCAGCTGAGAAACAGACAGATGTGTGTTTATCAGTTCATTTATTACGTTGATGGATGGATGGATGGATGAACAAATTATCAGATAGCACTACTATACTACTACTATACTTTTACACCTATTTAAGCTTTGATTGTCCCAATAACTCTTAAATTCACTTCTTTTTTTATTCAGTACTTTCTAGGATGAACTTTTAAATTTAAAATCTTTTTTCAACAGACTGACATTTTTAAAAGTTAATGTTTAAAAAACAAAAGTTTGAAAACCTTATATTGTGTTTTCCAGAGTGCCTCCTTGGAAAAACATTATTATAACCTTATTCGTGTGTTTCCTCCTCCTCAGTCCTCATTCTGCAGCCAGTGGAGCGAGACGACCTGAGCGCGAAAATCCTGAAGATCACAGACTTTGGTCTGGCCAGAGAGTGGCACCAGACCACCAAGATGAGTGCCGCCGGGACGTACGCCTGGATGGCCCCAGAGGTCATAAAGCACTCGCTCTTCTCCAAGAGCAGTGATGTGTGGAGGTGCAGCACTTTTTATTTCGTTGACAAATCTGATTTTCTTTATACTGTATCCTTCGTACTGTCCAAAACCGTCCAAAAGCTCACACGGAGATAAAAGTTTGGCTAAAACTCATTCTTCAGTGGTAGAACCCTAAACTTAGAATCAAAGTCACAGAAAGTCCTGCAGCATCTGATCCAGTTCCCACCAAAAATCCACAGAACTTTTTAAGCACTGATAAACTCTTCTTTGAACCCATCTGCTAAAGTTAACCAGTTTTATTTATAAGTAAATAAAGATAAACTGCTCTTTGTTAAAGTTTGCTTATTTTGATGAATGACTTCATGTTTATCAGTAAGTACATTACTTCATCATGTAAAATTTGCATTATGTTTTCTGCCATCTGTTTCCTTTTTTAAAAATTGTCTGTGCTCACAGACACTACTTTATAATATGGAAAAGCTCACATTAACGCTGACTTTAAGGGTTATTTGCATATGAATTCTGGTTTTGCTGTTAAAAGGCAAAAAGGCATTCATTTTTGCCAACATGCAGCTCTGTAAGACTTCCTTTCAGAGAACTGAAAGGTTGGATTTCTGCTTTAATAAATACATTTTATTTAAATATACATTTTATTTGAATATTTAAATAGCCTCATCTGACAAAATGTGTAAATTAAAGAAGTCTGTTACTTTGACTATGCTTACATATACAATTAATTATACCGAGACTTTGTCTAAATCTTTGCAGTTTGTGTCAGAAACAACACAAAGAACTAGACTTGCAAACACAACTCCACATAAGTTAAAGACTTGAGTTTAGTTAAAAATGAAGGTGAAAACAATATAATTGAACCTGACTTCATGGCTCAGACAAAGAAGACCCAAAGTCTTGTTTTTGAGAGGGAAATCAGCAAATTATATTTGCATGAATATGTCACAGCAATCCACTGATTCAAAAAATGTTCGATATTGTTAATAACCTATGGTCAATTCAAGTTCCCCAGTTTAAAAACATACTAGCAGATAGATTTTAGTATCACCTGCACAGCAGTGAATAAACATCTTGCCAATGACGGCACCTGTAATAAAAACAGAACAAGGACCGAGTATGGGACCATGAGGAACTCCACATTTAATGGATGAAGAATACTGACCTATGTGGAAAGAGGAGCTCTTATCTGTAGAAAYTTTAATAGCTACACACTTTTTTTAAGTTATGATAAATGGATGTTTATGTGTAGTGTTGAAAGCAGCTCTCTAATTTAAAGCCTCTTCTCCATGAGCATTATTTTAAGCTTTAATCTATTCGATTTAGAACACAGACGAAATTAAGAGAAGTCCTTTTGAGAAAAAGACAATAAACTAGTTATTATTGGACTAATTCAGTTCTGATGTAAGTCTGCATGATAACATCTGAATGTAGTGGTAAATGTCTCCTTCTGTCTCGCTTAACAGTTTTGGCGTGCTGCTCTGGGAGCTGCTGACCGGAGAAGTACCGTACCGGGAGATAGATGCCCTGGCAGTAGCTTACGGTGTTGCCATGAACAAGCTAACACTTCCTGTCCCGTCAACCTGCCCTGAACCTTTTGCTCAGTTACTGGGAGGTAAGGAGTCACCACCTGAACTTAAGATATATATTCATCCTCTGGGAAAACACGGTCACAGCTGTTGCCTTCTGCGTGTTCATGGTTCAAAACTACATTCTTCTTGCTTGTCCATGCGCTCGCCTCTGATTTTACTGGACACCAGTCATCCAGGATGACCTTAAACATGTCGCTGATGATGCGGAAAGCCTTTTTTTTTTAATGACCCCCGGGCTGCTCACATCCACTGACTTTAAGATTGCATAACTGTGCTGCAAATTTTAAGGTCGCAATTGTTTATTTTTTCCAGTGTTTTACAAAAGATGTGTATTAAGAGTTAAATAAATGAAGATTTTTAAGACATATAATTATATCTTTGTGCAGCTTTGATGCAGATTTCCCCTTCGCATCCTGTGAATAACCAGCAGAGTATAATTTCTGTTTAACTGCATTAAACATAAGGTGCTCTAATTGTTGTTGTTGTTGTTGTTGTTGTTATTTAAATACAGGTTAAAATTTCAGGTCAGGTTTTACTTTTAACGCATATCTTATCTATGTGCTTCAGGTCAGGAAGTAGTTTATCTTGTTTTACTCTCTTTACTTAGGTTGTCAGTCTGCTGTTATCGCCACACGCTTTTGATGATAATTTTGTTTATTAAATACACGTTTCGTAATAAAAACGGTATGACCAACAGCTGAACGTGCTAAAGGATTTCAGATCTTTATGTGACATGTTATATTTTTTAGTGCTGAAGGGACGGAGCTCTGTATTGTGTTGTAGGTGTTCAGCATGTTTTTCTAACACTGTCAGAGTTTGGCTCGTGATTCTCGCCATATGCCGTCTCCATCTTTTCTCTCTTCCTCTTCTCCTGTTGCTGCGTCGGCTGCCAGAAATTAAATGTGTAACCGGACCAAAAAATAAATAAATAAATAAATAAATTAATTAATTAATTAATTGGTGGTTTAGATCCTGTGCATCAAACTGAGAGCATGATGTTGTTTCCAAACTTGATATGACTGAAACATGCAGAGTTGGTTGAACACAGAATAAATCTGCTTTTCCAGCAGCTATAATCATGGCTGAAGGATTGTTAGAGTAATGTTACTGCCTGCCGTCATAGGTGTGCAGTGTTGCCTTTGTGTGTCTGTTARCAAAATATCTCATGAACCCCTGAAAGATTTTGATGAAACTTTCAGAAATTAATCAACAAGTGATTAAATTTTGAAGTCAGCTTGATTCAAGGCATAGATGGCTGCCACAGCTAAATGATCTTAGAAAACACAAAAATGTCTCAACTCAATCAGTTTTATATACGTATATTGAGAAAAACGTTGGTGTGTTTGTAGAAGAGAGTCAATCTCATTGTGTACTTTAGCAGGTTGCATGAGGTTTTGGTTTCAAACTTTGGCACAAAAACAGCAGGCAATATGCATCATTTAAAAAAAATTCTGGTTTTACTTATTGACATGCAGAACATAAATAGAGATGATTTAGTCCAAAAACCCTTCCCGTGCAGGGCCTTTCACACATTATTGCAATGACAACACTTTTTTAGGTTATATTCTGCAGCCCCAATAGGTTTGTGCATTTAAACATTTTTTTTTATTTTGTTTTGTAGTTTTATTGTTGACCAAAAGATATTGTGAAACTCACTAGTGAAAGTTAAGATGTGTGACGGGTCGTCTGCATAAGCACAGAAATGAATTTCTATATTTTACTGAAACTAAAGAAGATCAGGAGACAGAAATGGAAGGTCCTTGTTCTTAAATTGTAAAATCAAATATTAATAAACAAGCAAAAAAAATCATAACTGGACATGCATTTTTTTTATTTTATACTCCAAAAATTAGAAAACAGTCCGTCCATTTTTTTTACTCTGTCATTGTCAGAGCATTTAAGGTGGAGCTAATTAAAAACCTTTTTAAAAACAGGTAAATGAATAAATAAATAAACATTAGCTAACTACGTTTGCATTTCTTTAACTAACTGCAGACTGTATTTTTTAATATAACTAGCTAATTTCTTAAAATAAAAAAATTAACTAGCTCCACCTTAAATGGAAAGAGCAAGAATAAACACTTTTTACTTCATAACTAGCTAACCAGGCAGCTGCAGTAAATAACCACTAGCTAACTAGTTTTACATTTACTTAGCAGGTGTCAGCTGATAATCTGTTTATCTCTGATGATTCAAACCGTTTCCTGGAGCTTCTGCTGCTTTTAGCAGATGAGACCTTTCTTCAAGAGATCCATGGTGAGGAACTTGGCATTGCGTTGCAATGACAACAATGTTAAACTTCAGGTTTGACAAAAATAAAAAAGATGGACTGTTTTTCCATTTTTGGAGTATGAATTAAAAATAGAACAATATCTGTTTTTGAAACAAAAAATGACTGAAGAAAAGCACCTGGAAGTCGCAGAGCTGCAGATGTTGAGGTTCTCATYATTGGAGAGGAGGAGGGATGGGATTAGGAGTGAGATAAAGTWAGAAAAGCCTTTGATCAACTAAACCGCATCAGCTTCCTCTCCTCCTCCTTGTCTGTTGTTCCTCAGAGTGCTGGAACCCGAACCCCCGCAGCCGGCCTTCGTTCACCAACATCCTGAGGCGACTTCAGGCCATCGAGCAGTCGTCCATGTTCCACATGCCTCTGGAGTCGTTTCACTCCTTACAGGAAGACTGGAGGCTGGAGATCCAGCAGATGTTTGATGAGCTCAGGGCCAAGGAGAAGGTGAGGAGTGAGGCGCAAACATACMAACACAGAAAAGAAAATAGGACATCCAGAGAAGCTTTACTGAGTAACTGAGTCTGATGAACGTTTATTTGTTGAAACAAACAGATTTTCAGAAGAAGTCGTTCAGAGGTGGTGGGAAGAATCTCACCCTCTGTCTGAGGCGTTTCTGCAAATTGAAAATATCTCAGCAGGAGAGGTGTCAGAAATGATGCTGCCACACCAAAACCCATCTCTTTCTTTCTCTCCTGTCATCCGCAGGAGCTGAGGTCCTGGGAGGAGGCGCTGGCCCGGGCAGCCGAGGAGCAGAAGGAGCAGGAGGAGCAGCTGAAGCGGAGGGAGCAGGAGCTGGCCGAGAGGGAGTTCGACATCGTGGAGAGGGAGCTGAACATCCTCATCCATCAGATGTACCAGGAGAAGCCCAGCGTGAAGAAGAGGAAGGGCCACTTCAAGAAGAGCCGGCTGCTGAAGCTGGGCAGAGACGGGAACTGCATCAGTCTGCCCTCTGGTGGGTGGAGCCGGAACTGCAACCAGATTGGGTTGTTCTGATGAGGAAAGTTCACACCAGCAGAGATTAGATTGGGATTACACTTCCTGTTAGAGTTTGACCAGGTTGAAAAAGAAAGAAGCACTGAACTGGTCAGACTGGTGCCAATTATTTGATTTCTGTCAGTAAAGTTTTYACACAATTCATCAGATTTGCAATTTCTCAAGAATTTTTTGTGTTATTGTGATTCTCCAAACTATTAAATAAGCGTTGAACAATAGAGGGAAYAAAGCTTTAAGTTGTTAAACTTTTTTTAAACTCCATTATTACCTTCCTCGATTCTTTATGTCTTGCTTCCAGTGAACCAGACATTTGTAATCCCGATAACATAAAGTACATTTTATTGTTTTTCTTTTGTTCAATGAGAGTTTACAGCAGCAATAAAAATAATAAATACAATAGAGCACCTCTTTTTAACAAATATATAACTGCAGGTTGTTGCAGCATCAAAATTTAACTTTGATACGGGTCCCTTCTTGCAGGTTTTGAGCACAAGATCACGGTCCAGGCGTCTCCCAGTGTGGACAAGAGGAAGAACCAGGGGAGCGAGAGCACCACCCCTCCTGCCAGTCCCGGGGTCCTTCCCCGCCTGCGAGCCATCCGATGTGAGGACAAACCCAGGTTCAGTCTGGTACAGAAATCCAGCTCGCGCGTGTCTTTAATGGGTTCCTCCGTCTCGTAGTGACGCCGAGCGACGGCAGCAAGACGTGGGGCCGCAGCGCCGTCTGTAGGAAGGACGACAACGCCACCAACAAGAAGAACGTACGCACCTGGGGCCCCAGCTCCACACACCAGAGGGAGCGGGTCGGCGGGGAGGAAAAGTACGAGCTGCTTCGGCTGATTTTACTGAACGCATTATTAAAATTAGTGGCCGAATTCTGTAATTTTTTGTGTTTAGGAAAAACAAACTAATGCTTCAGTTCCACTTTACAACAAATAAATCCCTCATTTTGAAAGAGATATTGATGCATTTTAAATAAGTTAGTCATTGAATTATGTTCAAATGTATAAAATATGATACAAAATATTAAAACTTTTAGTTAAAAAAGTAAAGTAAATTGAATTTATCTAAAAGAAATAATCTCAATTATAAAGTACATCCAAATAATGAGCTTACTTCAGTATTTTATAACTGTTTTATAAAGAAATGTGACTTCTTGTTAAAGTATTTATAAACTCACATATAAGCATTAAGAAGCAGTAATAAATAGTTTATAAAGAGATTCGTATTGTAAAGTGGAACTCGTGCTTTTAATTTYAAATTATAAAAGCTTATACATCAGTTTGCTCTTGTGGAAAACTACTTATTATAATGTTCTTACATTATTGTGTTTGTTTATTGGTCAGAGTGCAGAGAAAACACAAGAACTATAATATTTGTGTTTTATAATCATAATGTTCTCTAGCTGAATTATGATTTGATTTCACACGAAGCCTCTCCGTTTGCAGACTGAAATCTCTCGGTGAAGGATCCAAAATTTATTCATCAAGTGCACCAAATCTGGGCAAGTCTCCCAAGCACGCCCCGATGACCACTGGTTTCTCCAGCCTAAATGAAATGGGTGAGCCTGTGTTTTTTTATTTTTTTATTTTTTTGTTGTTGTTTGTTTGTTTTACAATCCATGTGTAATCCTGATGTTTATGTGTTTATCAGAGGAGTGCTCTGAGTTTGAGGAGTCCCCCGGCTCCTTGCTGCCCTCGGACACCAGCAGTAACGGGGCCATGGACGACTCGGGGCTCCTGTGGAGCAGTCTGAGGCCGCCYGCCGTCGGAGGCTCCTCTCTGGTGTCTGGAGGCCTGTCGACRGGCGTGAGCCACCAGGACTCGCTCCGCCGCTGCAGCCAGAGGAAGAAAAGCGACACGCTGCTGCTGGGCTGCGCCTCGCTGTTGGCAGCTGTGGGACTCAGGCAGGACCTGCTGCAGCTGGGAAAACAACAGGTCAGAAAACAGCAGCAGAGCACTCATCTGAAAGTTTAAACAAGCTGGAAATCATCAGCAGATATCAGATCTTAATAATAGATTTAAGTGATTCCTGAGTTTTGTTGAGACAAATGCTTCTCGTTTTGATTTCTCCTGGTCTTGTCCTCAGGTGCATCAGGACGAGCAGGATCTCCGAGAGGAGCAGCGAAAGAAGAAGGAGAATCTCTTCCAGCGGACRGGTCGTTTCCGTCGCAGCACCTCCCCGCCCAGCAGAAACCTCTCCCTGTCCCTCTCCAGACATCCGGACTCTGCGCTGGCCTGCACGGACCCGTCTCCCTCTGTAACGCTGCTGTCCCTGTCCTCTCTGTCCGACTGCAACTCCACCAAGTCCCTGATCCCCTCCGACTCGGACGAGTTCCCCCTGACCCCCGTGAGCGGGATCAAGACACCCGCGGCCCCTCCGGCTCCCGCAGCCCCCGCTCTCAACCCGCTCCTGGACCTGCGGGCYGAGAGCTTCAAGAAGGAGCCCAACCAGTCGCTCACACCCACCCACGTGTCTGCAGCCATGGCTCTGAGCAGGGGGCACAGGCGCACGCCTTCTGACGGGGCCATACGACCCCGAGCCCAGACCCTGGGGCACCGCAGGACGCCGTCAGACGGGAGCATGCCCATGCCACCCCCGCCGGGAGGACCCCACATCACAACAAGCAAAGGTACGGAGATAAAACTCTTCTTAACGTCTTCCTTTCACAACCATAACTTACTGCAACAAAAAAAAAAAAACACCTGGAAGAACTTATTAAACATTCAGAGTTTATTATTTTAAGTGAGTAAGTAAATTTTATTTATAAAGTGCTTTTCACAGACATAAAGTCACAAAAACACACTAAACAAAACAAAAAACAGAAAAACACGTGATTATAAATCAAGACATAAAARCCTGGGAAAATAAAAATGTTTTTAGTTGCTTTTTAAAAGCTTCCACAGAGTCAGCAAAATGAGGCTGTAAGGCAAACTGTTCCACAGCCTCGGGGCCACCGACTGGAAGGCCTGGTCCCCTTGAGTTTTTAATCAAGTTTGTGGTACAACCAGGAGGTTCAAAGTCTCAGAACGAAGACAACGAGCAACAGAATATTTAGTTACAAGCTGGCAAAAGTAGTCAGAGACTGTTGTTCTGTACGTCAGCACRAGTACCTTAAAATGAGTTCTGAGCAAGCAGCCAACTGTAACAGATATAAAACAGAAGTGAWRTGGCAGTTTGCTGGATTTKGTGAGAAGAMTGGCTGCTGCATGTTGAATTAATTRCAAACGGGAAATTGTGAATTTATCCAGACATTTGAAAATGGCATTACAGTAGTCCAGACGAGACAAAAGCATGAAACTCTGGAGATCATGTCTAATCTTAGAAATGTTTCTAAAATGAAAGAAACAAGAACGGGAAACAGCTTTAATGTGCGAGTCGAAGCCTAACGTTGAGTCAAATGTGATGCATAGATTTTTTACCTTTTGATTTTACTAACGGGGGAAAAGATGCAATTTTCTGGCTGATATTTTGGTTCAAGTGACTGGGAACAAAAATCAYAGTTTCTGTCTTACTGGTGTTAAGAACCAGGAAGTTCATGGAAAGCCAGTCACTGATGCGGGACAAACGCTGGACGAGGATGGCCAACCTGTCCAGCTGATGTGGTCTAAATGAAAAATACAGTTGAATATCATCGGCGTAAACATGATAAGAAATATCTGAAAAGGACTGAATGAAGCCAGCAAGAGGAATAAAACAACAACAGAATATCTCAACAATATTTGTTAAAATTAGCATGTTGACTAGGGCTGTGTACTGGTAAGAATTTAGTGACACACACACACACACACACACACACACACACAC